TGTCAACCATGGCCTGAAGCAACTTCCATCTCCAGCCAGTCGGCCCCAGTACCTCTGCCCCTTGTGGGCACTGTAGGAGCTTGGCCAGCTTACCGGCAGCCGTGGCTCCTGCTGCCTGCGTGACGGCTGCTGGGTGTGCAGCTTGCTCCGCGTCCATTTCAGCTCCAAGCGACTCAACCGCCGAGAGAACCTCGGGGCTGTTTCTTAGAACGTCATCCAAGACGCGAGACATGCGCGCACCTGCATCCCTCAGAGCAGGCAACCGACTCACGGCAATGTGAGGGTTTCTCATTCCCCCCATGCATTCGTCGTTTTCCTTTTCCCTGGTCTCCTTCTTGGTTGGGCTCCTGCCCATGTCCTCGTGGTTCCACATGTTGGGTCAGCAGCCCGCCGAATCCACCTCTTCTCTGACAAGCACGTTGAAGAAGCGCCCTGCTCGTCTGAACAAGGGCCCTGTTCGGCAGTCCGACTCTACTTTCTGCTCGGCAATCCACGCGGCCCAGGCCTTTGCCAGGGTGATGCACAGGCCCGGCGAATACGCCGCTTTTGTTGCCCCCTGCGAGTTCGAGCAGGAATCCGCGGCCGCCGCCCTAATCCACGGGGCATTGGTCAAGAAAGAGCGCTGCTCAAGCTCTACCCTCGTCACTCCGGGACGCTTAAATAGCCGCGCCAGAGACTTCAGCTCCCACACACCGCTGTCCACGCGGTTTTCGATGGAGAAGAACAGACCCAGATCAGCCTGCTGCTCGGCTATGGCCGCGGAGCGATTCGCCAAGAGCTCTTCGTCCATCACGCCTTCAGATCGCGAGCCCGCCCACTTGGTCTCGCGGTTCTCCCTACACCCTCGTGTCTCTGCCACGGTGTGGTGTGACAGCGCCAAGTGGACCCAGTCGGGGCAGTCCTCGCGAAGTTTCCGAAACACGTCCATGAACTGATCGTCATCCCTTAGGTCTGCGCTGTACCTCCTGTCCTGGGCCGCCAAGACGCTCGCAGAACTTTCAAGAAGCCCAGACACCGCCAGCGACAGTCCAGTCACGCCAGCCAGCAACTCCAAGAACCTGCGGGGCTTTCTCGGCTTTTGCCCTTCCCGGGTCCGATGCCCGCCTTCCTCGGAGTCAGCCGCCGCAGGACGTTTGCCCCCAGTATCGCTCTCAGCTGGCGCTGGCCATTTTGGTTGTTCCGTTTCGCTGGCTAGCACGCTTGCCTTATCCGCCTTGCCCAACGAGCCCCGTTGCGCACCCGATGGTCAGTTCGCAGACCGCTTGCACTCCTTCATTGGGTGGTCACCCAAACACGCCTGGCAAATGTGGAGCATGCCCTTGCAGCAAATGCCCGTGCATGTTCCGTCATTGAAGCCAAAGCAGATCGGTCGCCCTTCGCGATCGGTGGTGAACCGTCCTTGCGAATCGCGCTTGGGCCCACCTTTCCGGGACTCGCCTTTGGCGCCTCCTTTTGGTCTTTTTCCGACCGGCGCTGGGGGAGGAGGGGCGCTCTCATCACGGAGCTTCGCCACCTGCTTTCGCAAGCGCTCTTTCTGGGACGGTCGGTTTCCCTTCTTGGTCTTTCCAGCCTCACCGCCTACCCGGTCCAAGGCGGACCCGGTTCCTCCAGGCTGCCCTTTGTGCTTACTGGTGCGAAAGAGTA